TTTGAAATGTGTTAATACCCTAAAATCTTTCTAAACTATTATATTTTTGTCAGTTTCCTACTTAAACTATTTGATGTTCCAAAAGCCTCTTGAACTATATTGTTCTTTATATTAAAAGAAAACCTCATTGTATGCTTAGAGGTGCGTCTAGTACACGCTCCTACTTATCTAAAAAATGTGTCATGTATAGCACTACACGTGGCTATTTAACTCAGCTTAAAATCCTCCTNCCCCCCCCAATATTTTCCTAAATATTAAAATACCATGTTGGACTTTTAAAGGTGTGTCTGTCTAACTATATTAACTTATGGTTTGTACAAATTTTTATATAGTTTACTCATGATGCATTACTGATAGAATATAAGGGTCCACCACACTCTATAGAGAACCAGGTTCTCTATCAGTTCCACTAGAACACACGCACACAACAATAAGTAAATGACAAGAGAAAGTTTACGTGGAAAATTCTCAGCTCAACGGGATTAAAAACCACGACCTATACTTGTAGGATTTCAACTTTACTACTAAGCAACGTTTAGATTACAACCTATGCAACTTAGGGATTAACCTCTTAATCCCTTACTAACTTGTAATACTCTATTACAAGTTACTTTGTAATAACTCTATTACAAAGACTTTACAACTCGACTAACTCTAGCCAAGACTCAAACACACAGGTTTAAGATTTACAAAGGGGTTTCCTAAATACTGCTTCTATGTAAGCTAAGTAGGAGTTACACTTGAAGAACTATTACAAAGTTACAACTCAACTAAGGATATACAATAACTTGATATGGGAACTGGTCCGTAGTTGTTTTGTTCTTTGTTCTTGAAACACTTGAGACTTGCTTTCTAGATGATCACGTGAGAGATCTTGAGTGAAATCTCTAAATGTTCAAGTGAGTTATTTTACCTTCCTTGATTGTATTAATACATGTGTGACATCACATATAATGATGTAAGCAAGGTAGGTAAAAAGTTTTCCACAGAAAGTTGACTGCTACACTGTTCCAGTACTATAGCGTGTGCAGGCAACAACTTTCAAGCTGGAGAGTTGACTTCGTATAGTCACCTCGGAAATTGGTAGGGACCTGTTCCCCCAGCTATTCCTTCGACTTTGAAGAATTGAGCCATATCCCAACCTGGAACCTTGTGATCTTAAGGTCTTGTGAATGTATAACAGGTTCCTTATCTGGTTATGGATAGTAAGTTTGTGATCACGCCCAACTATGGCTTATAAAAAGAATAAAGCGGTCGCTACAAATATATTCCGGTTAATAAGTCCGGAATCGAATCTCACAGGGAATTAACCTATCAATCACAGCTATTGGACTCACAAAAATTCACGTATTCAATTTTCAGAGATATTTGATAAAATAATGTAGTATTCTGACTTCTTGGCCTTTGGATGAGATGTGTATTCCTGACTTTCTGGCACGAAGAATTCCAGAATGTAGGCATCTTGTTCCTTACTCCTTGACTCCTCAAGTGGCTTGGATGACTCTATTTTCATATCATCATCCAAACACAATGTGAAAAAAATACTTGGAGTATGGACCAATGCGCTCAACTACATGAACATTGGGACTGTCTATATTCTTAACATTAATAACAATAGAGTCAACTAAATATGTATCCTCAATATCCTTGATTGACTCTAGTATATCTTCTACACGGCATCCTCAAAATCTAGTTCGATTGATTGTTGGTGTTTTACTCTGGTCTTCTCCACTAGCACTTCAATTGATGTATCTAATTCACACTCTTCTTGGATACTATTCACAATATTGGCTTGTTGAGCATTAAAATCTTCAACCAGTTAACTCACTTGAACTTTCACGTTGTGAATAGTTTCCTCTTGCCTTTCTATCTGCAGTTGTAATTTACTATGTTGTTCCAAAAGATACTTTAACATATCTTCGATCTTCTTTAGGTCAGCTTCCTTGGGTTCTTTGTTCCTGTTATCCTCACAAGAAAAAGTAGACCCATAAAAGTAAGGGGTTGGGGGAAGGTAAGAAATTTAAGCACAACCGTAAAAGTGACCATCTTGACCACCACACATATCACACACATTCCACACATAAGATTGAGTTGGTGCACAAAACTCGCTCTCGGAAATATTTTGATAATTTTGCCCTGAGTGATTTCCTTCACAATATGCATAAGGAGGATTAAAAGTATAATTACCAACATCAAAATTCTCATAATTCCATGATGCCATGTTTCTCAAATAAACAAATAAAACTAACTAAATAAATAAATACTAAAAAATAAAATAAAAGTTCAAACTTGAAAGCTAGCAATATGTACACCTACACCGTTAGTTCTCCGACAACGACGCAAAAATTTAATCACGCTCAATTATGCCTTATAAAAAGGACAAAGCGGTCACTGCAAATATATTCCGGTTAATAAGTCCGGAATCGAATCCCACAGGGAATTAACCTATCAATCACAGCTATTGGACTCACAGAAATTCACGTATTCACTCTTCAGAGATATTCGATTAACAATTTGGGTGTTTATTAACTAAATATTTATGTAATAAAATGCAGTAATTAAGAACTAACTATCAACGGTTTGTAAACAAGAATTGGGAGGATCTAAGGTTCTGATTTTCCCTATTGTCGGAATCCTTTCCGCTATGTTTGCTCTAAATTCGCCTAAGTCTTGTCTCTCGATCATGAGCACTCTGACTGTCGTAACTCTCTCCCAAGTAATTACAACAATATACTAGACATATTCTCCCGAATTACGCTAGCTAGCTTTTAAGTACAGCTCACTTAGAGCGCACCCAAGGTTTCGTTATCCCTAATCCCACCTTTAAACCCTTCGTATTGATCCCTCAAATACGTTAGGAGTGATGATATTCAACAACTACCTAAATATGAACTCTCTCCCGAGTAATCCACACTAAATAGGAACAGTTAATTGAGGGCCCTTCAATCAACAATAATAAGCATGTAGTTGAACAAATAGAGATAATACTATGGCAAATTTATATTAACACAACGAGAAAATCATCCTTCAACAGATTCCATCAAAATCCTAGATTAGGAATTTAGCTACTCATACTCATAGTAACAATTTTCCAAATAATTTGCATAATTAAATTACAAAGCAAAGATGAAGGAATGAAGAATTCGATGCCAATCTCCTCCGGAAATTGCTCCAAACATTTTCTCCCTTCCGAAATAGTCTCCCTAGGTCTAAGATATGTCAAAAGTCATCAAAATAGCGTTTTTATATGTATTTATATCAAGTAGGGTCGGGCCCAGACGAAACACCCTTTCCTACAAGAAATAGGACTTGGCTCTATAAAAAACGTACAGCTGCGCCGCACCATGCGGTGCGTTAGTGGACTTTGTCTGAAGCCTCCACTTTTCTTGTCAGGCAGCCATTTACACTGCTGCGACGTGCCTTGCGGCGCCCCATGCGGCGCGGCAGTGCAATTTTCTTAGAGTGAATTTATTTCGTCCTCTTTTAACATCCAGACTTGATGCACGACCTCCGAACACGATCTCGGCTTAATATATTGGGCTTTTACTCAGACTTCAAAGCTCCAGATTGATCGATTTAGCTCCAAATTAACTTTTGAGCTCAGGGTCACTTCCTGCAAGGCATAAAACACGTACTAAGTGTAATTCACTATCATTTGAGCTCAAACACACGTAAAAATGCAGTAATTGGAATATAATACTACAGCTAAAACACAGGTTTCTAGCCTAACATCAGTTTGTTAGATCATTAAAACATAAAACAAAGTACTTATGACCTATAGAACAAAGTACTTGTAACCTATCAATTTTTCAATTTTTGATGATGACAAACTCATAGTTGAAAATCTTATAAAAAGCCATATAGAACCAGGCAGCGAACCAGAAAGACCTTAAGTCCTTAAGTTTCCCCATGAATCTCTGCATTCCCCCTTCTCTGCATTCCCCCTTAATTAGTGCACATTAAGGAACCTCAAAGAGAGTTCCCCTGAATCTGTATTTCCCCCCACATCATCTTTATTTGATTATGCAAATTATTTAATTCAATTATGCAATGCAATATCTTCCCTCTTTTGGCATCATAAAATCCAAGTTTAGTTTTTACAAGGTGTTGAGTTTAATAAAAAGATTTAAATTAATATTCTTTCAATAATATACGTAAGACATGAAAGAAGATTAAAACAAGAGAGGGAGAAATTTTTCCAGAAGAAACTCATATGGAGAACCGGAAAAAAATGAAGAAGAAGGTGAAAAAAAAAGGTAGAATGGTGAATAAATGAGAAGGAAGATGGATATAACTGAAATACGGAGGATATTTATTAAAAAAATAAATTTGAAAGAGAGTTCGGCTAATTAGCCACTATATTCTGTCAGGTGGCCATTTTGATAATTTTTTTCATGTGCCATGCGCTCGCAAGCGAGTATTTACACACGTTATGCCAGGTCATCAACAAGGGGTTTTAATATGAAGGGCAATATAGTTCAAAAGGGTTTTGGGGACACCGAATAACTTAAGTAGGAAACTGACAAAAAAGTTCGTTAGGATTTTGCTACCTAATATTTATCGCGAATGTATTTTTGTTCAACCTTTTAAAATGAAGTCAAAATTTAAATGGTTGCATTGAAATATCCTTATTGTACAAATTTCCCCAACTTTTGTTGAGCCAAATGCTAAAATGTGGTTCGAAATTTTTACATAATACAACAGCATTTAAAAATTGTGGACGGTAAATATATACATTTTGTATATTATTGTATACATATATTTTATTCGCATCTGATATATAATATTTTGTATATTTGGTTAGGGTTTAATTATTTTTAGTGAGTCGGCCAAATGTGTTTAAACCTAAATTATTGTCGTTTTTCCGCACTATATTTGGGTTTAAGTGCTAATTGCGGATATATAACAAGTCTTTGTTTCATTTGGACTTTTTGGCCAGTCAAACACCTCCATATATAAAGACGCGGAACGCAACTGGGTAAAAGAGGTGATCTTTTATATGAAAGAAGTTAAATCGGATCCATTCCCAAAAGACCTTTTATACATATTACACATGAACAAGAAAAATGGACTATGTTACAATGAGAACTAAGATCATATTCAAAGTTATGTAGCTACTATCATATACCTACATGTATATTAATATATATATAAACTGGCAAAACTGGCATATTATGCATAGTTCACAACCCATTCACTGCTCGTGGCTCCTCCCCAAAACAGAAAGAAAAGCAAGTTAATAGAAAAACCATCTTCGCGCTCATTACTTTTGTTTAATTTGACACCCGATTACCTTGCATTGAGAAGCATCCGAAGCACGCTCTTCATTTTAGGCCGGCCTTCTGGTGAGATACTAACACAAGCTAGAGCCACTTTGAGGACAGCTAACATCTGGCTCCTAACGTTGAGCGACGTCTTACAAATGCTAGAATCAAGAATGTGATCCCACTTGTTGTGCTGCTCAGAGTCGCTCAACACCGACTTGGCTAACTCAGTTCCCTGACTAACTGCAGGCCTTCCTGTCAACAATTCCAGCAGGACAACTCCAAAGCTATATACATTTCCCGCCATTGCGACTCTCATTGTGTATGCATATTCTGTTACAGAAAAGGAAATGCATGCATCACTAAATATATGCTTAACTTTGAGGCTTCTCATGTTATAGATGTAAAGCTGGGAAAAGACATTTTATTATACCCCTCACTCTCTAATTTACACTGACAGGCTGTTTCATTTCAGATATCGAAAGATAGTTCAACACCGTTTCGAGAATCCAATGAACTAATCATACTTAAGGTTTGAAATAATGTTTTCTCTATTACTTACTTTTTAACTATTCCTTTCGCATTTATTTTCACCTACTACTTATATAATCCACGGTCAACTAATATCTTATGCTTATGCACAATCAAATGGTATCACATAAAATCGTATAGTGGGCGGATATAATGCAGTCTTTGGTCTGAAAACAACAATAACTGTATGAAAATTTCACACGAAACACATTTTTTTAAGCATGGCATGGCTGTTATGACAAAGAATGTATCATATTTTCTTCCGGAACATGTCACATGCAAGAACGTCAGATCATGGAAAATGAGGAATATAAATCAATGTTGAAGGATCTTTAACTTTAACCAAGTAATAGTTCATTACCTGGAGGAATATAACCGACAGAACCAGCAACAGCAGAAAAGCTTCCTGTGCTCTTTGAAGGATCGATCACCTTGTAGAGTTCAATGTCTCCTATCTGAGCCTCATTCTGGGACTTCAAGAGAACGCTCTTGCTGGAAAGATCGAGGAGTAGGATTGGACCGGAGTTGCATCCATGTAGAAAAGCTAAACCCTGAGCCACTCCAATAGCGATGCTGTAACGACTTGCCCAATCCAACGAGTATCCCAAGCTACCACGAAGAACATCATATAAGGTGCCAATAGGGGCAAACTCATAGAAGAGATAAGCACTATCGGCAACCAAAAGATAGCCTAGTGGAATCATGATATTTGAATTATTCAGCTTTCCGAGATTCTTGAGCTCTTCCCCGAATAGTTCATGGCCTCCCAACTGAAATATTTTGTCACTCCAATTAAGCTTCTTGACAAAATAGGTTGTCCCCGACGGCATAACAGCTTTATAGTAGGTCGAGAATCTTGTCTTGAACACAACATTTAAGGGATCAGACACTACTACCATGGCTTTCGTGAAGTCTATATTAGACTTGTGAATGCTGTTTGCAGTCAAAACCTTTCCCTGGATGACAGGGGATTGAGAACCTTCCTCTCCCGAGTGAAAATGATCATCATTAATCCTGTAATATCTTCTAGATATTGAAATAGCAATCAAGGTGAAAAGGGCAATTACCGCTACGCCTGCTATTGGGACAACAACTGCAATAACTATAGATTTTCTCTTTTTTGCGGCTTCAGGTGGAGTGATCGGGAAAGGATTGATCAGATCCCTATTTCCACTTGTCTCAACAATGACAAAGCTTCCAAACTCCGGACGAACTCCAGAGAGTTGATTGTTTGAAAGCACCAACCTAGTCAAGCCTCCCATTTTAGTCAGAAAGTCGGGAATCTGACCTGAGAACCTGTTGTAAGAGAGATCCAAAACTTCCAATGAAGTCAATCTAGATAGAGTAATTGGTATAGGTCCTTCAAAGAGATTGTGACTGAGATTCAAAGCAATCTGCAAACTTAGCGGCATTGCTGGAATCACCCCACCAAGTTGGTTCCCTCCAAGTTGGAGTTCTAACAACAAATTTAAGTTACTAATGTTAGGCGGAATTTGACCACTTAGCTTATTCCCCTGCAAATTCAAGTTTGTGAGGTTTTTCAAACTGGCTATTGAACTTGGTATGGAGCCATTCAATGAATTCCAGCTCATATTGAGCTTCTGCAATCTATTCAACTGCGAAATGTTACTCGGAATATCCCCAACTAGGTTATTGGACTGAAGACTCAGTACCTGAAGATTAGAAATATCACCCAACTCTACTGGAATAACACCACTCAGCTTATTCTGGGCTAAGTTCAAAAGCGCCAAGTTTTGGCACTTCCCCAATTCAGAAGGAATTGGTCCACTTAGCTGGTTGTTGTCCAGCTCCAAGTAGGTCAAACTCTGAAGGATTCCAAAAGAAACAGATGTAATCGACCCATTCAAAGCATTTTGGCCCAATCTCAACCTGATTGAATTTATCGACAAGTTCGTAGGAACAGGTCCCTCCAACTTATTGGAAGTCAGATCAAGAAACTGCAAGTTCATTGGGGATAACAGGTCCTGAGGTATTATACCAGTTAAACTGTTAAAGCTGAGGTCTAAATTCCTCAGGTTCTTGGTTAAGCCAAGGGGTATATTTCCAATAAAATGATTCTGATTCGCAGCAAAACGTGTCAATGTTTTGATATTCCCAATGGATTGTGGGATTGTTCCACTCAAATTATTGGCTGATAAAATCAAAACTTGCAATTTGGAAAGTTCTCCTAATCTATCAGGAATGACGCCAGATAGAGAGTTAAGAGAAAGGTCAATCAAAGTTAAGTTGCCAAAGTTCACAATTTGAGTGGGGAATTCACCTTGAAAAACATTTGCAGAAAGTTGAAGCTCCTCCAAAAGATTAAATTTTCCAAGACTGGTAGGAACTGAACCAGAAAAATTGTTGAAGCTAAGGTTCAAACTCTTGAGTGAGTTCAATCCATCCAACTGCAAGTCAACTTTCCCATTCAAGTTATTATGAGAAAAGTCCAAAGACTCCAACTTTCCAAAACCAGTGAAATTAGGCAAAGAACCCTCCAATTTATTCCTACTAAAGTTCAATAATTTTAAGCCAGTAACCCCCCCACAACCAATAATAAACCCACTTGGGATTGAGCTCAAATGGTTCTGAGAAATATCAAGAGACTCCAATGTATTAATTTGACAAATAACAGGCAAGACCTCAGAGCTAGAAATTGAAAACAATGAAAATGAAACTTTGGTAATGGAAGAATCATTAGAAGTGCAAGAAATTCCTTTCCAAGAACATGGATTTGAACTTTTATTAATCCTATCCCATATAAAAGAAGTAGCAGTATCATTCTGAAGCATATCATAGACCTTTCTCATGGCATTAATTTGGTCAGTGGGCAATTGGGAAAACACTAGCTGAAGAGGAAAAGACAAGAATATAACTATATAAGCTATATGGGGGGCATACCTTAAGTTCATTTTGGCTTTGTAAAGAAGATGATTTGGAAGCTGAAAACTTCAAGAAAATAAGAAAGGGTATCAAGAAAATCTATGTACGAGTTAAGCTTGCATAGTGTTTCAGATGGTTTTGGGAATTGAAAGAAATGAGGGGAAAGAAAAGGATCAAGTGTTGTAGTATTTCATATGGAAAAAGAGAGAGAATGGGGAAAGGGAAATTTGTTGGGCATTTGTTGTGTGGGGAGGGGGCGTTGACTGGACTTTACTGTTTTTGTATTGGAAAAGGAACAACAACAAACGTAGACTCGGTGGACCGGACTAGTGAAGGAAGTTTGTCAAATTGCCCCTCTATTATTGTTTATTGGTTGTTTGTGTCATTCGTTACACTTTTCGGCCATTTTCATCCATGCTGTTAATGAAGTTTGAAAAAATACCCTTAACCCTAACGTTTTAAAACTGTGACAGCTGACCACATCAATTTTATCCAAGTCGGCTGCCATGTCAGCGGTCCCACAATATTAAAACCCCACAACACCCATTTTATTCCTGTCTCCCACGAATTAGGGCTCAGACGACCCCAATCTTTTTCCCGAGTCTTTAATGCCGCAAGGAAGATGTTCTTTCCAAATTAGGTGTCGTTGTGGCATCTATGCAAATCACTTCACTTCAACGACTCCATTAAATCCTGGAAGGCGATTTTTTAAATGTCTGAAGTTTAAGGTTAGTGATTGTGTAACAAAAGCTCTAAATTATTATTTGTTTGCTCTAAATTATATTCTAATAATAACGATCTTAGTTTCTTCTCTCTTTTTTTGTCTTCGACAGAATCATTCTTGTGGTTATTTTAAATGGGAAGATGAAATCTCGTTGAACAGTGTTTTGGTTACAACTAAAGATATAACATCGTCTTGGGAAGCAATTAAAAATGATAGGGATAAATTGAAAGAAGAATTAATTGCCATGGAGGCTCTATACAAAGCTGAAGCTATAAAAATAATGAAATTGGAAGAGAAGGTTTTGAAGACGAGGATGATACTTAAGATCTCATGGGCACTTTTTGTTGGATTCGTTGCGACGTCGATGATGAAGTGAATGTTGGTGAATCTTGTTCATGATGCTAATGAATATGTTTTGTTGTCAATTTTATTCTTGTTTGAAATTGGAAGAGAAGGTGTTATGTATGTTGTTTTGAATCGTTTACATTAAAGCTTGTAATCTTAGTTAATATAATTCCAATATATTAGTTGTCAATTAGTTAATGTAATTCCAATATATGAGCTTGTAATCATTTACATTAGAGCTTATATTAGTTAATGTAATCTTAGAAGGTATTAGTTCTTTTATGATGAACCTGCTATATTATTAGTTGATGTTATGGGTTGATGAACATAGTAGTTATGTAAAAAAAATTATGGAAAGTTTCACAACACCATTTTGATCCAAAATTTGGACAATTTCATAATACCATTTGGGTCCAAAATATGGACAGTTTCACAACACCAGTTAGTTCAAAATCTGGACAGTTTCACAATAACATAAATATGGATAGTTTCACAACACCAATTATGTCAAAATCTGGATAGTTTCACAACACCAGTTATGTCAAAATCTGGATAGTTTCACAAAATAATTTTTAAACAAAATCTGGATAGTTTCACAAATTGTATGTGTTTAAGGGGTTGGACAACATCTATAACTCATAAATGAACACTTAAACCATTTATTATCCTAATAGTTGGATAATGAATAACAATGAAAGGGACATTTAAATTCATAAACTCCCATTTCATTCATCACAAGGGGATGCCACATTATCACCCCAAAACTTACACAAATAAGTGACAATATGACATCAAGTTTTTCCAACTAAACATTCAAACTACATTAAACCACAACAAGGGGATGTCACATTATCACCCCAAAAACTTACACAACTAGGTGATAACATGACATCCGAGTGAACAGGTCACTAACTAAACAGCCACACAAGTTTAACAAGTTTACTTGGTTAATAGTAATTACATCACAACCAAAAATATACAACCATAGTAGAGTTTAGTAGATCCACATTCTAGAACATCAGATTTCTTTAAGTCTGGTTCTTCCCATTACCCTTCTTTACTTTCAACTTGGCCAATCTTTGCTTGCTAAGTTGGTTACCAATAATAGCATTTTTTCCCTTCCATTGCGGCTTCTTTGGTGAGAATGGTAGGTTTGATAGCTCACTCACACCAGTGGCATCACCAACAAATTCGATTGCCCTTGTTCCAATTGTTGTACTTTGTAGTTGCCTCAATTGTAGCCTAGTCTTTGCCTCAGAGATACTTCTTGGCCTTATAGCTATTTCAGGCTTAGGGTCAGGGTCAAAGTCTGGGTAGTGGAAGTCTGGAAAGGCACTGCAGCTTGGTTCTTTCCTCTGTACTGAAGGGGTTGGCATGAACAACAAGTTTCTAGATTGACTTGTTTGAGTAAGCTGGCTTGGATGAGGGGCTGACAGAGGAATTTCCTCATCAGTGGCTTCTTATGGAACTGGTGAAAGAGAGGGAGATCTGGGTTGTTCATCATCAGCTTCATCAAGTAAAGTTCTCTTCCTCTTTGTCTGTTTTCCCTTCTTCTTTCCTCTAATGGGCTGCTTTCCTTTAGAATGTTGTTAGTAAGACAGAAAGTTTTGATTAGATGTTGAAACAAAAAGAATGATAGAAAAAGTTATGGTATTAATTACCTTTACACACCCTCTAGCATTGTGTGCAGGTTCACATAATTGTTACATATCATTACCCTCACTTTCCTTGACTGAGACCATTGTCCTTTACTATTAATTTCCTTATTTTTTCTCTCTCGTTCTCTTAACCTTTGATTTCCCAGTCATCTTTACCAAAGGAGGTGGAGCCATGTATTGTGAAGGGTCAATTTTTCAGAACTTTTCTCCTCTTACTGGTGGTAACTTATGTAAATAAGTTTGGAGATAAGTCTCTTTGGTAAGGTACCAATGAATCTGACTTAGAAGGTCTACTTTCTTGTGCAATAATGCACAGATTGCATGAGGACATGGAAAGCCACAAAGATCCCATGACATGCAGGTACATTTTTTTAACCTCAGATTCACAATGTGTCTGTCACTACTTTCAGTCACCTCATATCCATTGTCTGCACTGCCATTAACATGACACTTCAATGCAATCCTCGTGAATTGGTTGTACAATTCTATGCTTTTAGGATTGTACTCATTTCCCCATGTCATCACCTCAGCTTCACGTTCATTAATCATATTCATCACCTTGATTCTAATATCATCAAGCATCTTAATGATTGGCTTGCGCTTTGCTTGCAAGATCAATTCGTTAAATGACTCAGTCAAGTTGTTGTCTACAGACTGATTCTTGCAAACAGTATCAAAGAATGCGCTACTCCGATATTTTGGTGGATACTTCAACAAATCCTCAACAGCTTCCTTTCCATCATCATCTACTTGACTCATATTCTTTATCTAATCTTTGAAGTCCTCTTCATAAGTACTCCATGCAGCCTACCAAAGGAATTTTTTGAACTTACCAGAACCTCATCTCTTACACCAATTTGCTTCTATATATCTTACACAAAATCTGAAGTGTGACTCTGGAAGAACAGTTTGGATTGAGTCAATCAACCCCTACAAATATCAGTAAATATCATCAGATAACAGTACAAAGAAACTAACAAAACAACTGAAAATAATAGTACAAATAAACAGTATATACCTTCTGCATATCTGATATAAATGTGATCTCTTCGCCCATTTTGAGGTCTAGTGAAGTCTGTAGGTAACCTAAGAACCACTTCCAAGTATGTTTTGTTTTTTTGTCAACAATAGCCCAAGCTAATGGATAAATATGATTGGCAGAATCTTGACCAATAGCCACCAACAGTTGACCTTTAGCCTTCCCTTTAAAAAATGTTCCATCCAATCCAATGAAAGGTCTCAAACCACTCTTAAACCCAGACTTCATTGCTTGAAAATAAATATACATCCTTAAAAACCTCATTTTGCCTTATTCAAGAGCATCTTTTGATAAGTTAATTATCACATCACTCCCAAAATTGCTAAGTTTCAATTTATTGACATAGACAATAAGCTTATTATATTAATCTAAACTACCTTTAAGTTTCTCCAAAATCATTTTCTTTGCCCTTTTCCACTTAGATTCACTAACATTTACATTAAATACAGCTTTCAAGCTTGCCCTCATCTCTCCAACCTTAACTTTGGGGTTATCTTGCAAGCCTTTTTTTAAAGTAAGCAGCTATTGTATTTGCATCAACTCTTTGATTTTCAAATACAGGTTCATATGTGTGCTCAGGCTCTAAAGTCTTGAATTTAACCCCACCCCCTGAAAAATCCTTAGATATATGGCAAACAAAGGGGCAGTCACCAACACAGATGTACCTAAACCTTGTTGAGTCACTTTTAACTTGCTGCAAGTCACATCCATTTGCAAAAGAATACATGTTGACATTTTCCTAGCTTCAGGTATATCTTTAAATGTCATTGACCTATCTAACTCTTTTTAGTTAGTTAAATTATCATTGATGTCCCTCCTCTTTTGTAAAAAAAAGTTGCTCCAATTCATCAGAACTTAATTTAGGAGAATCAGAATCAATCCTCACTATTATTATCACTACAATCAGTAGTAGCTTCAACTTATACTGTGTGAGACTATATTAGGTACATCAATTGCTGGTTCACACTCTTCTACAACAAACAAACTAATAACATTACATTGTTCACTAATAAAGTCTAATAGAGTCCTAATCCCAACATCCCCATCTATTTCATCAACTAAATCAGCATAAGAGAGCAAGTCAGAGTCAAAGTCTTTATTTCTGTGAGTCAAAACCTTTTTGATGTGCACATACTTCTTTTTATCCATCGGGCATGGCTTACTAGTCCATTCCCCACCATGATGAAAAACTAACTCAACTAGTACCATCTATAAAAGGTTGCATAGTAACCATGAATAAATTTATTACAGCCTACCATAGTAAATGCATAAAGAAGTAACAAAGACAAGAAGTACAGAAATAATAAATAAACATATAAGGGAAAGCTTGAATAAACAAAACAGTTTTATAAATAAAAGGAATAAGGAAAAGGTACAGAGGTAGATGAATAAAGAAACAAAATTAAATGAGGTACTATGATAAAGAAACGGGCACAAGCATGCATACGAGGGACCACATAATAAAGTATCAAACTTAGAGTCCCACCTCAATAACAACAACAACAACAACCCAGTATAATGATACTTAGTGGGGTCTGGGGAGGGTAGTGTGTACGTAGACCTTACCCCCACAATGGGGAAGAGAGACTGTTTCCAAATAGACCTCTGACATCCTTCCCTCCAAGAACTTCCCAAATTGCTCTTGGGGAGACTCGAACTCACAACCTCTTGGTTGAAAGTGGAGGTTGCTTACCATCAAAGCAAACTCTCTTGTCAGAGTCCCACCTCAATAAAATAAGGACAAAACATATATGTAAGAGACCCACATGAGCATCATCTTCAAAGTAAATGCAGGTAAAACAGGGTACCAAATAAGAACGAGTCAGCTATTAACAAATAGCTCAAATCCGTTTTCAGTTAAAAAACCCTAACCGACCCTTCTTTAAAAAACAAAAGGGACCACACATACTTGAAACCATAAACAAGAGAAAGTTCTTCTAAAATAAGTACCAAATATCATCAATTCCACCAATATACCCTAACCAACCAATAGAATCAGACAAATAATTAGGGTATAAAGGTGAAAGTCACATGCAAACACAAACAACGAAAAAAATACAGTCAAAGAAAAACCTTAAACCACGAAGCATAGTCTAAAAACCCTAACTTTAACATAAAAGAAATGCGAACCCTAAGACAAAAATGCTTCATTTATAAACAACAAGCATATGAAACTAGTAGAAAAGTTCAGATTTTGGGGGAAAATCTTACCTTGGACAGTATTAAACACTGAAAAAAGAGGATTTTCTTTTGAATCTTCCACACTCTTCTCTCTCGTTTCTATCAAATGGATGCATACCAAATGACCCTCATTGTTAATTTGGACGTGTCTATCTTATTTATTTAGTGGGAAAATGGGTCACGGATCACGAGTGGGAGACGGGAATGAAATGGGTGTTATGGGGT